ATATATATATATATATAGTTTCCTCCAAGATGACTTTCTTTTTTTTTTTTTTTTTTTTGTACCAGGGATTGAACCCAGGGGCACTCAAACACTGAGCCACATCCCCAGCCCTATTTTGTATTTTTTATTTAGAGACAGGGTCTCACTGAGTTGCTGAGGCTGGCTTTGAACTCAGGATCCTCCTCTCCTGTCTCAGCCTCCTGAGCTGCTGGGATTACAGGCATGTGCCACCACACCCAGCTCCCCCAGATGATTGGAGGACTGTGTGAGAACAGCCTAAATGTCCCACCATAGGATGCGATTCCAGTGTGGAAAATAAATGGCCCATTCTTACCCGAACCATCTGCAGAAACTACTGGATCTTTCAGAGAACGCCAGCTCTATTTCAATTCTGATGAAAAAATGATCCATAAACCTCAGATTCCCAGCATTGGCTTCCATCATCTTCTTCAAGCTGTTTCTTCCCTTTCTGTCTCCCTCTCCCTCCCTTCCCACTCTCTGCCCCTCTCTGCACCCCACCCAGCAGGCTGATTCCTTAGGACTCCATTTCCCAGGCTCCCTTGCGGCTGGTTTCCTGGTTGGGTTAGGTAACAGGAGGCACAGGCCAGMGATCAGAGCAAGGGATGTTTCTTCCTCAGTCCCTCTTGCTTCACTTGCATTTCAGCAGTGGCTTCCTCTCTGCCACCAGAGATTCTGTGGAGTGACCTCTGCTCCAAAAATCCAGCTCCCACTGAGCTCTCCAACCCCATTATTATTTCCCTTGCCCCTTCAGGACCAAGGGTACTGCCAGCTTCTCCTTGTTCCTCATCTTTGGGTGCCTCAGCGTCAATGTTGGATTCCCTGTCCCTGCCCGCTGAGTCATCCCTTCACAAATGTCCCCGGTACCATCTGAGTTGGATTCTGTGTCCARCAGGACTCAAATGATACAAGGATCTCTCTAACACCATCTTGCCTAGGGCTATTATTTACTGATTGCTCCCTCCATCAGACCTGGTGCTAAGGGCTTTGCCAACCCAAACCCATCCAGCCTTGACAATAACTSCATGAGGAGAGTATTCATCTACAGCTGAGAAACCAGACTTAGCGGTTTTAAAAGGTCTTCTCCCGGGGAACGCATCTAGTAAGCCGCAGAGTCAGGATGCAAATCCTTTCTACTCCAAAGTCCCTTTTCATCCAGTACCAACAGCTCCTCAAAGCAATCCCCTTCAGAATCACCTGGAATGTGTATTAAACATCCAAATTCTGAAAAGAAAGGTGGGACAGATCTCATGAAAATCAAAGGGAGGTCAGTAGAGGAAAAGGACCAAGCGGTGGGAAGAAGGGAGGGAAGGGGKAGGTACCAAGGAATGATAGTGACAAAATTATATTGTTATAGTGTGTGCATGGACAAATATGTAACAATAACTCCGTCATTATGTACAACTATAATGCACCAGTAAAAAAAAAAATGTGGGTAGCTAGACACGGTGGTGCACACCTGTAATCCCAGCAGCTCAGGAGGCTGAGGCAGGAGGATCATTATTTCAAAACCAGCCTCAGCAACTTTAGTGAGGCCCTAAGCAACTCAGTGAGACCCCGTCTCTAAATAAAATAAAAAATAGGGCTGGGGATGGGGCTTTGTGGTTAAGCACCCCTGGGTTCAATCCCTGATGCCCTCCAAAAAATAATTGGGGAAAAAGTAAATGATAAAAAAAAAAAAATCCAGATTCTGGGAATCTTATCCCAAGTGCCCTTCTAAGCAAACCAACTTTAGACCTTGACTGGAGCCGTGAGGTTGGCTCAGGGTCAAGCCTGGCCCACAGGAACTGGCCACACAAAGTAACTGACGGCGGTATGGGCAGTGGTAATTAGTAAGACGACCAAACCTTGCTCCATCCTGAACTTGAATTAAAAATGCTAAGGAAATCAACGAAGAGGTGGAGGACCCCCATAAAGAGAACATTGATAAACATGGGAAATCAGAGAGCGACGTGGTCACAGTGACYGTGTGGTGCAGCCGTCAGATAGCAGTGTCACTGGGGCAAACTGAAAGCCTGAATAATGCCTATGAATAGCTTCCCTGGAGATTTCCATCTCCTCCCGCTCCTCAGCTCATGGGGACTTATGCAATGGTTGGATGTATCTTCTCCGAATGACTCATTTGGCTGAGTTGATACATCCTTCAGTTTTTATAGAAAGGACTCAAATCTACCAGGAATGGAACAGCCTCCTGACCAGTCTTCCTGCATTAACTCTGTCCACATTTTTTTTTTATTTTTTGGCATCAGGGGTTGAACCCAGGGGTGCTTAACCACTGAGCCCCTCCCCAGCCCTTTTTTTATATTTTATTTAGAGACAGGGTCTCATTGAGTTGCTTAGGGCCTCACTAAGTGGCTGAGGCTGGCTTTGAACTTGAGACCCTCCTGCCTCAGCTTCCTGGGCTGCTSGGATTACAGGCATGTGCCATYGCTCCCAGCCTTTTAAACCRGCCTTTTGAAGCTGGGGTGATCTTTTCAAAATATAAACCTACCTTCATTAACCTCCTGGCTTAAAAYCCACCAATGGCTGCCCATTCTTTGGACATAGTTTTAAAAATCCCCTACTGTGGTCTGCAGGTTCCTTCATGGCCACCACGCATCTTCTTCAGTCCCAGCTGGAGCCACACTCGGCACCTCAGTCACACTGGCYCCCTGTGCCGGGCTCCCTCCTGCCACAGGGCTTGGCACAGGCTCCTCTTCTGTCRGAAACATGGACCCCCTGCTCTTCCCCCTAGTTAAGTCCTGCTCATCACCAAGCGCCACTTCCCCGGGGATGCCTTACTGACTCCTGGACTCCCATCTCGTGGCGTCCCCCTTACATAGCATTCTTCACAGGTGTGACATCTCGTACAACTACTTGATTAACGTCAGTTGTTAGGGTTTGGAACTGAACTGTCCCCCAGAGTCACACATTGAAAACATGCCCCCCCCCCCGAAGCAAGGTTAAGAGGTCTGGCTCTGACCTCGTCCGTGAATCAACAATCAAGTGGACCACTGCAGGCTGACATGGACCACCAAGAGCTGGGACCTAGCTGGAGGAAGAAGTTCAATGGGGGTGTCTTAGCCAGCTTTGTCACTGTGGGGACTACAAGACCTGACAAGAACAATTTTAG